GTCTGCGTCTGAGCCACATTGGCCGGCAGTTAAACATACCTGGCAGGAGGTATAAAATGCAGCCCTTGCATTGGGCCAAAATGCAAACAAAATTGGAATGTCTTCGCAAAACGAGAATACTCCAGGTGGCAGCCACACATGTGGAAATCCACCCGCGGGAGAACCCGCGGCCAGGGCAAGGATTCTGGAGGCCCTAAAAAACATTCCCCCAAGCACTGACGTGGCGGTGGCTGACTTGGCCGCCACGGTAGTTAATACGCAAGCCAAGACGACGAGAAAGATGACGGTCCAATGGCCTTTAGAAGGAGCAGCAGGGTTCTAAGATCCCCGCTCCTCCCAGCGAGTAAGGCTCCGGTACCGACAGCAGGAGAGAATGCGGACTCCCAAACTCCCAAAAGGGCACGGGACGCCGCCAGCCCAGCAGGCTCTCAGCGAGATACGCCACCTAAGAGATGCAGGGAATCCCAGTGTCTCAAAAACATTGCGGAGCTGAGAAAGATCCTGGATGATGTCCTCGACGACATCAATAACAAGCAGGTCCGACACATAACCTTGGTTATGAAGACCAAGCTGGCGAGGGTGAAGGACCTGCAAGCCGAGTGGCTCAACTCTGCTCGGAAACCTGAGGAGACGGACCGACCCGAAACTGCAGTAGCATGCCACAACTGTTCCCAGGGCGGGAACAAGATTGAGAGCACTCAGAGGCGGGACGCAGCACAGCAGACGCCCAAGGTCTGGAGCAAGGACGGCGCAACACAGACGGAGGCGCGGCGAGCCCCGACCACCACTACAGAGAAATCGCAAGTAACGGCGGCCAACTCGAGCGCGAAGAACCTGCGGCGCGCCCCCACGCCGGCTGAAGCTGCTAAGCAGGGGAAAACTTCCGCAAGAGGGACACCCGCGGCCAGCGCGCCCAAATCCAGGGCACCCAACCCGCCGCAGCCAACCGGCCCAGCGACTGAAGGCCCAGAAGCCTGGAAAACCTACACGAGGAAAAAGCGGCGCAAGAAACTCGAGGCTCCTCATCGATCCCGCCCGGACGCAGTCATTATAGCTGCGAAAGGGAAGACATACAGTGAAATCCTGGCCATGGTCACCAGAAGGGGCGACAGCCAGCTTGCAGGCCTGGGTAATTGCGTCAAAAAGGTTAGACGAACCACCAACGGAAACCTTCTGCTAGAGGTGGCGAAGAATAGCGCTGAGAGCGCAGCGTCAATGCGAACGAGCATAGCGCAGGTGCTTGGTGAAACGGCGGAGGTTCGGGCGATGTCAGAGGACTCAAAGGTCTCTGTGCTCGAGATCCGAGAGCTGGACGCCCTAGCCAAAGAGCCCGAGATTGTGGCCGCGATCGCGGAGCAATTCAGCTTGGATGGGGCCAAGGTCAAAGTGCGAAGCCTCCGCCCTGGCTATGCCGAGTCACAGACGGCAGTAATTAGCCTCCCGTGCCCCCTGGCAAAGGCGGTGCTTAAGAGAGGTTCTCTACGCATAGGCTGGACTTCCTGCACGATCAGGGAGAGGACAGGCCCCCCCAAGATGCTACCGGTGTCTCGAGGCTGGCCACCTGGCCGCAAACTGCAGAAGCGCGACCGACCGGAGCGGCTGCTGCATAAAATGCGGGGAGAGGGGACACAAAGCCGCTAAGTGTCCCAACGAGGCGAAATGCTTCCTATGCGCTGCTTCCGGCAAGAAGGAGACGAGGCACCAGGCAGGCAGCAAAAGCTGCCCGTCCAGGAGCTCCAGTAGCAGTGGCGCCTTCCCCCGTAACGCGCCATGCAGTTGATTCAGCTGAACCTGAATCACTGCAGGGCAGCGCATGATCTGCTGATGCAGACGGAGCGCGACCTGGACGTGGATGTGGCGGTGCTCAGCGAGCCATACAAGGCTGCAAGCACACATGGTTGGGCCATGGACCGGACTGGCAAAGCTGCGCTGTGGATGTGCGGGCGGGAACCCGCTCACATGTCCGACGTCAGATCGGCGGATGGCTTCGTTCGCGGTAGAGTAGGCGGGGTGTGGGTGTACAGCTGCTACCTGGCACCAAGCCTCACCCTGGAGGCCTTCAGCAGCATCATCGACGAGCTCAGCGATGACATCCGCGGACGGAGCAACACACTAGTGGGCGGCGACTTCAACGCTTGGGCCCAGGATTGGGGGCGCCCTCAACCAACGCCAGAGGCCGCATCATCCTGGAGGCCTTCGCCTCCCTGGATATTGCTCTGCTGAATGAGGGTACCCAGCATACCTTCAACAGAGCGGGAGCAGGGTCCGTTATAGACCTCACTTACGCTAGCAGTGCACTAGCCTGCCTAGCCAGGTGGAGGATCAGCGAGATCTATACAGCCAGCGATCATGAGGCCATCCTCGTCTCCCTCGGCGAGAACTCACCGAGCAGGACGATCCCGCCCAGCGCAAATAAGGCATATCGGCAAGACACGCTCAACGCCCAAGCGTTCTCGAGCGCCTTAGCGGGCCTAGCCACAGACGAAACGGACAGCGCTAACGACGCTGCGCTCAAACTGGCGGCCGCGGTCGAGCGTGCATGCAATGCAAGTATGCAGAAGCGGAAATCTTTCCGGAAGCATCACGCACCGGTGTACTGGTGGAGCGATGACATCGCAAACCTCCGCTCCTCTTGCCTCCGAGCCAGGAGGAAAGTCCAGAGAGCGCGCGGCTCTCCGAACTTACCAGCCCGCAGCGAGGCTTACAGAACCGCAAGGGCGGCCCTAAAGAAGGCGATAAAGTCCAGTAAGAGAGAGTGCTTTCTTAAGCTATGCGACGACGTGGAGAAGGACCCATGGGGCGGGGCCTACCAGAAAGTCGTAAAGCGAGTGAGCGCTGGCAGCAAGGCGCCAACGGACCCTGAGGCTCTCGAAGGCATAGTCCGGGTGCTATTTCCGACTGGGCAACCGCTCAACTTCCATGTGAGCAGGGAGCCCATGGAGATATGCCCGGTCTCGGAGCAGGAGATCTTAGTGTCAGCGAGGACGCTCAAAAACAAGAAGGCGCCAGGCCCTGATTCAATCCCTAACAGGGCGACCAAACTGCTGCTCACACTGCACGCCAAAGCGATCGCCGATTTGTTCAACAAGTGCCTGGCGGAAGGCTCGTTCCCAGTGAGATGGAAGCGCCAGAAGCTTCTTCTTCTCCCGAAACCGGGGAAGCCAGCGGGCGAGGCATCTTCGTACAGACCCATCTGTCTGCTGGATACGATTGGGAAGGTATTTGAGAAGATGATTGTTGTAAGGCTGGAGGCAGCGATAGAGCGCGCTGGTGGGCTCGCGCCAAACCAGTTCGGCTTCCGGAAGAGGAGATCGACCCTGGATGCCATTGAAACGGTCACAAACCTGGCCGCGAACGCTATCGCTGGCGCGAGATGGAAAAAAGGCGCCAAGGAATACTGCCTGGTTGTTACTCTTGACATCCGGAACGCATTCAACTCTGCGGACTGGAGGCGGACACTGGAGGCTCTGGAAGCCTTCAGCATCCCGGGCTACCTGCTGAGGATAGTCCGCAGCTACCTCAGCGAGAGGAGTCTCATCGTGGACACGTCCCAGGGTACCAGAACGCACGAGGTCTCAGCCGGAGTCCCGCAGGGCTCCGTTCTGGGACCACTGCTCTGGAACACGATGTATAACGGGGTGCTAAACCTCCCGCTATCCTCGAACACCACTATCGTTGGCTTTGCCGACGACGTGGCGCTGGTGGTAGTGGCGAAGGAGCTGGCAGATGCGGAGATGGCGGCAAATAGCGCGATCCGTGCGGTCGAGTCCTGGCTTGCAGTCGCCGGCCTCGAACTGGCCTCGCACAAGACCGAGGCAGTCCTGATCTCCAGCAGGAAGCGAGTGGAAACGGCGGAGATCCGGGTAGGTGGACTTCCAATCTGCTACAGAGAACACCTAGAGTATGTTCATAAAAAGGCCAGCGAAACCGCAAGGTCCCTCTCCAGGATCCTGCTGAACACCAGGGGGCCCAAGCAGTGCAAGAGGAAGCTGCTCATGAGCGTCGTCACGTCGCAACTCCTCTATGCAGCCCCAGCCTGGGCGGAGGCTGTGAAAGTCAGGAGCTATGTGAGGGGTGTAGAAGGGGTGTACCGCCTATGCGCTCTAAGAGTAGCGTGCGCCTTCCGGACTGTCTCCGACGACGCGGCCCTAGTCATAGCGGGGCAGGTGCCGATATGTGAGCTGGTTCGAGAAGCCCAGGAAGCCCGCCTCTCACACGAGCCGGGAAACTCTTTGGCGAGGCGTGAGGTCAGGAGCAGCGCCAGAAGCAGTAGTATCGCCCGGTGGCAGTCCCGGTGGGACAGTTCCACAAAGGGCCGTTGGACTCACCGCTTGATCCCTGATATCCAAAGCTGGATCACCCGAAAGCACGGCGAGGTAGACTTCTACCTGACACAGGCGCTCAGTGGGCACGGTTGTTTTCGGAGCTACCTAAAACGTTTCGGCCACGACCCAGAGGACCACTGCCCGGAATGCGGGACCGGAGTCGAAGAGAACGCGCACCACGTTCTTTTCGAATGCCATCGTTTTCACCACGAGCGGCTGGCACTGGAGGAAGTTGTGGGCGCTGCCATCGGAGCTGACATTCTGGTCCCCACTATGCTTGGCAGCCAGAAGGCCTGGGACGCGACTGCCACTTTTGTGGCAAGCGTCATGAAAACGCTGAGAACTCTGGAGACGGAGAGAAGGATGCGTGCAGAGTAGGTGGCCCGTACCTCGCGCGAAGCAATGCCTAGCGGCGGTACCGCGCGACCAAGGCCCTCTACACCGTAAATCAAAGCAGCCTTCAATCAAACAATTTGCAGTCTTCGTTCTTTTCTGTTTGTTGTTATTTGTATATTACTAAGGATTTAATGTTGTTAATAAATGGAATATAAAAAAAAAAAAAAAAAACATTGTCGTTGTGTAGGGGAATGTGTGAGTCGCTGTTGATTTGTCAGGAATAAGGCGAATAGATAGCACGGCTTACGGTGAATAAAGACAATAACTCGTGATCTTAATTGTACTTTAATGATGAACAACTCGATTATAGAATATTAATGGATACAGATATATGTGCGTTATTTGATTAATACGTTTGCGAAAATGTCGTTCTCGCGGAGCTGGCGTTGCTTGTCGTTCTCGTTCTCCAACTCTTCGCCAACTAACTCCGAGATGCTAGACCGTTGCTGTCTAATGGTTCTCCATCGGAACCGGATCGTGACACTCGTGACAGCTCGGCCAATCCTGCATTCGGATCGTCCTCGATTCGATCCTCGTCATCGTCGGGAACATCCAACTCAGGGACGTTGGAGCACCACGGCTTGATTTTATCCGAGGAATAGACAGAACTGTATTTACGTCCTGTAATCTGAATACCTGGGATGTCTTCGATTACATAACGATCGTTTCCAAGGACCTTGACGACGATATATGGTCCTCGATAGCGTGGTTCGAGCTTTCGCGACTCGCCTGTAGCAGCTGGTTCATTTTCAACGACTACAAGGTTACCTGTGGAGTAGATAGAAGGGTTAGCGTGTTTGGTATCAAAGCGTTGTTTCCATTTAGCTCGCTCGCTTGCAATATTGACGAGCGCTTGGTTTCTGTTGTCGATGACAGATTCTTTCTCGTCTAATTCCAAATCGGTGTGTATAGCTGCAGTGAGATGGTTCTGGACTACATCAATAGGATTAAAGTTAAACACCAAATCAATCGGGCTGAATCCTGAGGTTTCGTTCTTTTGAGAGTTTACACTCCATTGAAGATTGTGTAAGGTAAGATCCCAATCCTTCGGGTGGTCGTTCACTGTGCGTACGTAGTTAAGAATGGTTTGATTGGCGCGCTCTACTTGTCCATTTGCACGAGGTGTTCGCACAGCATTTTTAATGTGTTGAATCTGGTTGTGCATACAGTATTCTTCAAATTGTTTCGAGGTAAAAGCAGTTCCACGATCGGATATTATTATTTTCGGCAGACCGAAGTAGCTGGAGACTTCATTTAGAATGTTCAGCACTGGAAGAGTTTTTGTATTTTTAACTGCCTTTACAATCAGATATTTACTGAAGGGATCGGATATGGCTAGTATATGGGTATTTCCGCGTTTGCTTCGAATAAACGGTCCCAAATGATCGATGTGTAGCCTGCGAAATGGTACTGGATCGGCGTCACTATAATGCATGCAACCTTCGGGCTTGCCTCCTTTAGATTTGTAGTAGCAGCATTGAATGCATGTTGAAATGTATTCTTTTACGTACTTCCGCATTCTTGGGAACCAAAACTTTTCTTGAATTCGTCCAATTGTTTTGTCCAGACCGAAATGCCCAAAATCATCATGACACATCTTAACAATGCGCCATCTCACGGACTTTGGTACAACGAAGGCTATTCCTTTTTCGACCTTGCGATATAGACGGTGATTTTTGATGACGTAATCAGCTTGAAGTTGTTTTAGTTGATTTCCGGTACGATGCTCCTTCAATACAGCAAATATTTGGACAAGGGCCTCATCCTGAAGCTGCATAGTTAGCAACCAGTCATCGACGTCCGTAATTATGGTGCGCACTACTTCCTGTAAGGATTTTTCGGGAGGTGAAACGGGAGCGCGGCTCATGGCATCCACATGGGCCATTTTACTACCATCACGATGAATGAATTCGCAGTCGTAGTCCAGTATTTTAATCCACCAACGTGCGACTTCAATTCTTTATTAAGCTTTACCTTGGCGATGGCGGAACAGTCTGTGACGAGTCGGAAGGGTTTTCCTAGAATATACACCCTGAACCTTTGTAGCGTTTCTACGACGGCCAACGTTTCGAGTTCGTAGCTATGGTATCGACTTTCAGCGTCAGTACAGTGCCTACTGAAGTAACACACGGGTCGCCAATTCGTTTTGTCTTGAGATTGCAGTAAGACTCCTGCTAGTCCGATCGCACAAGCATCTGTGTGTACCTCATGATGTGCAGCAAAGTCGTACAGAACCAAAACTGGAACACAGCATAATTTATCGATTAGCTCGTTAAAAGCCCGTTGCTGGTCATTTCCCCAATCGAAGCTGTTTTGCTCTACCTTACGCAACAGTCGTGTAAGGGGTCTTGTAATTAGGGAGTAGTTTTCAACAAATTTTCGAAAGAATCCCGTTAGGCCCAAAAATCGTCTGACGTCTTTTACGTTGGTGGGGACTTTGAAGTTTTTAATAGCGCTCACCTTGTTTTCGCCTGGAGTGATTCCATCTTTGTTGACAATATGGCCCAAGAAAGTTATTTCGGATTGAAGAAATTTACATTTGTCGTAGCGAAGTGTTAAACCGCTCTCTTTAAGGATTCGGAAGAATTTTCCGAGTCGTTGGATACCCTCATCAAATGATTTGCTGGGAATGATGACGTCATCTAAATATGCGAGTACCTCACCTGGCTCCATACGTTTGACTATTTTGTTCATGACCGCTTGAAATACTGCTGGAGCATTGACAAGACCGAACGGCATCCTGTTATATTCGTAGTGGCCGTCTGAAGTTACAAATGCGGTGAATTGTTTGGATGATTCGCAAACCTCGATTTGATGATATCCCATACGCAAGTCCAGCTGAGAAAAATAGGTATTCCCGGCTAATTGGGCAAATTGCTCCTCCAGATTTGGCATTGGAAATGGTATTTTGACGGTTATACTGTTGAGACGTCGGTAGTCGACGCAAAGACGATGTTCACCATTCTGTTTTTCAACGACGACAATTCCAGATGCATAAGGGGAGTCTGACGGACGAATGATATCACTATCGAGTAACTCGGAGATAATATTACCGACGACAGGTCTGAGTGCAAAAGGAGTACGGTAAGGCTTAGTGAAGCAGGGAACGTTTGATGTTAAAGTTATTTCCATTTTAGTTAGAGAGCATTTACCGAGCTCGTTAGCTTTCTCCGCAAAGCAAGACGCATTTTCCGATACCAATTTGTTTATGAGCTCGTTCTCAACTGACGAACGCTCTTGGCTTGTTTGAATTTTTCGAATATTCTCTACATAACACTCATTACCGAGGATGATCAATTTGTTTCCATCGCGACAAAGGATATCCTTACCCAAAAGTACATTTTCGGTTATTAGTTTGTCTTCTACGACCAAAACTTCAACTTCGTAATCCGAATCGTCAATTACAATTTTCGCGAATAGTTTCTGTGTACAAAGGAATTTCCCACCACCAAATCCGTTCAGGGTAACAGCACATCGTTGTAGAACACCTACGCTTTCGGCGAATGACTTTCGAATTAGGGTTCGCGTACTGCCTGGATCTACGAATGCGATGGTTTCATTACCGTTCACCGAAATCGATTTGGAGATTTCTGAATCAGGATCAGAGTCAATTTTATTAATTTTTTGACCTGTCTTTTGGTTATCGGGGCAGCTGGCAGAATCGTGTGTTATGCGGTTGCAGTGCGTGCAACGAGGCTTTCGCTGAGGCTCAGGACATTTCGAAGAATAATGTCCAACCTTCTGACAATTGTAGCATTTAACCGATACCTCGACTTTATCGTTGAAAGGACGTTTTGTATTTAATGAAGAATTCGGCTTCTGAAGGCTGACGTTAAGATCCCGTTTGTTTGACATTTGAATGGCGTTATGCTTTATAATATTATGCGCGGAGTACGCAAGAATATCGCGTAGTAGTTCGTTACAGGAAACATAACTGTTGGATATTTTTCTCTTTAAATCGTAGTCGTTTATTCCGTTGATAATGTGTGTGCAAATTGCTGAATCTGGTAACTCACCCTTTTTACCCAAAGCGAGCATCTTGTAGAAATAATCTGATGGTGACTCGGTGGAATCTCTATTCGTTTTTGACATTTTAAGGTGAACGTCTGCCGGGTTACTGAGACATGGGAAGTCATTCAAAAATCGTTCAGTAAACTGGGGCCATGTTTGAAATATTTGATCCGTAGAGTCTACCCAATAACGAGCAGCACCCAGCATCTTTTGTTGAACTGCAAATATTAGCTTACGATCATCCCAACGGTAAGCGTTATGAAGGGAGTTGACACGCTTTACAAACTGATGTGAGTCCAGGGATTTACCAGACGATGGATTGAATTCTGGAAGCAGCGTGACAATATCACTGACGTTTCCATAAGCGTGATTGAAATGTTCGTTCCCAGCAGGGATCCTGTTATCCAAGTGGCTAGCACGAGCATATGGATACTCGTTATACATTGGTTGATGTCGTGGAAATGTACTGCCTTGATTAAAGTCGTTTCCCGAAGTTACAAAATTTCCAAAGTTTGAGTAAGTGACAGGATTGTTTACGTTTGGCTGTGAGGTAGCACAGTCTGTGAATTTCTGTGACGTAGAAAAGTGCACGTTGTGAGTCTGAGTCGGGTAGATAACATTTCGCTGTGACGTAGCAAAGTGCATGTTGTGTGGTTGAGTTGGGTATACATCGTTTTGCTGTGACGTAGCAAATTGCATGTTGCGTGGTTGAGTTGGGTATACATCGCTTTGCTGTGACGTAGCAAAGTGCATGTTGTGTTGTTGAGGTGGGTAGATTTCGTTTAGCTGTGGCTGAGACGTTGCCACATCTATATTTGGCAAATTCGTTACCTTCTGCACATGCATCTCGTTGGATCGTAGGTCGATTGGTTGTTGTTGCCGTTTTTCGTCAAGTTTATCACTCGTTGTCTCGCTACCGTTGGCTGGCTGATCTTCGTTTACTGTTGCAGCTTTTTCGATTGGTGATGAAATTACTGAAGGGTGAAAAGAACGCTCCTGAAGCTCTCGTACCGTTTTCTCCAGCTCGACAATCTTCTTTTGAAGCGACTGGTTTTCTGCACTTATGTACTCATCGTCGCTGTTTTGAGAGTTCAATCTCCTTAGCATGTCCTCACGATTTCCCGATGTCGAGAGTCCCGCTTCTCTGCACCTATGTTGTAGGGCTTTCTTAGTTAAATAGTTCTTCCCCGGCATTGTGAATAACTTTCGTTTTACGTTATGTCCATTTATCTTGGTTCGTTTTCACTTATTGCGCACTATCCCACTTCTGAAAATGTCACACACACTCCAATACTTTGTCGTTGTGTAGGGGAATGTGTGAGTCGCTGTTGATGTGTCAGGAATAAGGCGAATAGATAGCACGGCTTACGGTGAATAAAGACAATAACTCGTGATCTTAATTGTACTTTAATGATGAACAACTCGATTATAGAATATTAATGGATACAGATATATGTGCGTTATTTGATTAATACGTTTGCGAAAATGTCGTTCTCGCGGAGCTGGCGTTGCTTGTCGTTCTCGTTCTCCAACTCTTCGCCAACTAACTCCGAGATGCCAGACCGTTGCTGTCTAATGGTTCTCCATCGGAACCGGATCGTGACACTCGTGACACAAGGCTAATACATTTGCATACTCAATTGTAAATTTGTAAACAAAAAGTTCACAACTCAGCTAATAATGCCTGTATCCACTTCAGAATTTGTATTTATATTAGTTTTTACATGGCTAATACATTTGCATACTCAATTGTAAATTTGTAAACAAAAAGTTCACAGCGCAGCTAATAATGAAATTTGTAAACAAAAAGTTCACAACTCAGCTAATAATGCATGTATCCACTTCAGAATTTGTATTTATATTAGTTTTTACATGGCTAATACATTTGCATACTCAATTGTAAATTTGTAAACAAAAAGTTCACATCTCAGCTAATAATGAAATTTGAAACAAAAAGTTCACATCTCAGCTAATCATGCATGTATCCACTTTAGAATTTGTATTTATATTAGTTTTTACAAGGCTAATACATTTGCATACTCAATTGTAAATTTGTAAACAAAAAGTTCACAACTCAGCTAATAATGCCTGTATCCACTTCAGAATTTGTATTTATATTAGTTTTTACATGGCTAATACATTTGCATACTCAATTGTAAATTTGTAAACAAAAAGTTCACAACTCCGCTAATAATGCATGTATCCACGGCAGAATTTGTATTTATATTAGTTTTTACAAGGCTAATACATTTGCATACTCAATTGTAAATTTGTAAACAAAAAGTTCACAACTCAGCTAATAATGCCTGATATCCACTTATCCACTTCAGAATTTGTATTTATATTAGTTTTTACATGGCTAATACATTTGCATACTCAATTGTAAATTTGTAAACAAAAAGTTCACAACTCCGCTAATAATGCATGTATCCACGGCAGAATTTGTATTTATATTAGTTTTTACAAGGCTAATACATTTGCATACTCAATTGTAATTTTGTAAACAAAAAGTTCACAACTCAGCTAATAATGCCTGTATCCACTTCAGAATTTGTATTTATATTAGTTTTTACAAGGCTAATACATTTGCACACTCAGGTATAAATTTGTAAACAAAAATTTCACAACTCAGCTAATAATGCCTGAATCCACTTCAGAATTTGTATTTGTTCGAATTAAGCGCCTCATCCAAAGTACCAATCTGGTAACTCCATCTGAGGACCGTTTTGGCCAGCATATTATTCTCAACTGGCCACACTTTTGATTTCAGTCTTGCGCGGCGTGGTTTCAAGAGCAGTCGATCTTGCGTGCCATTCTTTTGTTCTCCATTCAATATATAATAAACTTATGTATATGTATTAATCCAAAACGGCTAAAGTCTACTTATTTAATCCGGATACTCATGCACCTGCGTTGGGGGGAAAATCCCAACAGGTTATGGGCCCAGGACGCGTAGTATCGAAGACAGAAAATTAAATAAGTGCGAAAGGAGAGACACGAGAGACGCTGTGAAAAATGGCGGGTACATACATGCGCATCGAACCGCTAAACGCGGAGAACTACGATACATGGAAGTTGCAAATGTGTGCTATACTTGTGAAGAATGATTTATGGCCATACGTGAACGGTACGAAAAAGTGTCCCACTAATGAAAGTGATCTCGCAGAATTGACCATTAAAGACGAGAAAGCTCGAGCAGATATACTTTTGGCGATAAGTACATCCGAGTTAGGTTTGATCGAGGATTGCACCACATCCAGAGATTATTGGTTGAAATTCAATCAAAAGGGCCAGTGCGAAAGGCCAGCTTGTTAAAGCGTGTAGCATTGTCGCGAATGAGTGAGGGGGACGACGCCCGCCTTCACATCAACGGTTTCTTCGATGCGGTGAAGAAATTAAAAGAGATCGGAGTGACAATTGGAGACGATTTGCTCGCGATTCTCTTGCTATACAGCTTGCCCGACTCATACGAGACATTTAGGTGTGCGATCGAGACACGTGACGACTTGCCAAGTCCAGACGTGCTCCGTGTTAAAATATTGGAGGAATCGGAGGCAAAAAAAACGAAAAGTGACCGCGAAGAACAAAGTGCTTTGTACGCAAACCGAAAGAAAACCGGTAAAGAAGGCAAGCCTCAAAAGGAGAGCAGAAAATGCTTTGTGTGCAACAAGGTAGGACATATAGCGCGAAATTGTCGAGTGAAGCCGAAAGAGAGCAGCTATAGTGCGAAGAACGAGGAACGCGAAACCAACGGAAATCGGTACAAAAAGGAAATGACGATGAACGTGAATGAACACGCATTCATAGCCGAAGGGCGAAATGATATGTGGTGTCTGGACAGCGGTTGCTCGGCACATATGAGTTCCAATAAGAATTTGTTCGGTGAAATAAAAAGCTTTGAAAAAACATTGCATTTGGCCGACAGCAACACAACGAAGGTTAATGGTGTTGGTGACGTGAAGATAGACATTAAAGGAAAGGGGAATGAGAAGATCACCCTTAAAGAAGTGCTATTTGTGTCGGATCTTCGTCAGAATTTGCTTTCTGTTTCAAAAATAACGGAAAAAGGTTACGAAGTGCGTTTTCGTAAGGAAGAAGCGATAATTATGAAAAATAATAATGAAGTTTGGCTTCGAGCAAAGAAATACGGAAATTTGTATTATTTGAATACCGAAAAGAATGAAGCAAACAAAGTGAACGAAGAACAAAGCGAAATAGAAACATGGCATCGCCGGTTGGGCCATCTAAACGAAAAAGACTTAAAGAGAATGGCGTTGTGTGGAAAAGTTCACGGAATGAAGCTAAAAGAAAATGACAAACTACCGCAGTGTGAAATTTGCATCAGCGAAAAGCAAACGGCAAATACGTATAAAAGTGCTACGGAAAAGAGATCGCAGAAAACTCCAGAAATTGTGCACAGTGACGTGTGTGGACCGATGCGTACACAGTCAAAAAGCGGATGCAAGTACTTCGTTACATTTATCGATGACTATTCGCGATATAGCTCGGTATATTTCTTAAAGCAAAAGTCGGACGTATTAAACGCGTTTAAATCGTTCAAAGCCTTAGCAGAAAATGTAACAGGTAACAAAATTAAACAATTACAGAGCGATAATGGAACCGAATTCCTGAATAAGGAATCCGACGAATTCCTGCGACAAAGCGGAATTAGCAGACGTCTGTCAGCGCCACATACTCCTCAACAAAACGGCGTGGCAGAGCGGCAGAACCGCACTTTGGTAGAAATGGCCAGGTGCATGATGAAGCAAGCGGGGGCTCCTCCGTCATTTTGGGCAGAAGCTATTAGCACGGCTTCCTATCTCCGTAACCGGTGCCCAACGAAGGCTCTATTTGGGGAGCTACCCTACACCTATTGGACAGCTAAAGTTCCCACGGTAATGTATTTACGTACATTTGGAACAAAGGCGTATGCATTAATAAAAGGCACGAATAAGGGAAAGTTTGAGTCACGATCTGAGGAATGCATACTGGTAGGATACGCTGCAGAATCGAAAGCGTATCGCCTTTATTCTCCTCAGAGAAGATCCATCGTGGTGAGCAATGATGTAAAGTTTATGAATACATCAGGGTTTAAGAGTAAATATGAAGAATTTTACGAGAACGAAGCTGAGGGAGAATTGTCTATTCAAATGACAAATAATTTACCGGACGAACAAGTAGAAGTTTCTAGCAGCAGCGACGTAGAAGAAGAGACTCCTGTTGTGGAG